TAGTAGAGACGGGGTTTCACCATGTTGACCAGGATGGTCTCGATCTCTTGACCTCGTGATCCACCCGCCTTGGCCTCCCAAAGTGCTGGGATTACAGGCTTGAGCCACCGCGCCCGGCCAGCCGGGATTAATTTTTAAAGTGCTTGGAAAGATTCTGCTAGAAATACTGATTCATTTGCCCCTCCTCCTAACACACTCAATCACCACTGTTTTCTCAGTTATCACTTAACTTCCCTCCAGAGTGTTTCTACACAGTTTTTTGTTTTGTATTTAAATACTTGTCATCCTGGCTCCTTAATGTATTTATTGGGAGAACCCATCGTAATATTTGGATTTTTAACACGAGGTCTTATTTAATATGTTTATAAGGATATAGTACTGTTGAAATTGGCTTTAATCACTATTACAGCAATTAATGCTGTTTAGGTGTTGTGTACTTACTGATTTAAGTTCCCCCTCTGATGGTTTGTGTATATCTAATGCTACATTCATCTTCCTCTTACTATGTAATTTTATTTCCCTCAACCAGGGTGCAGTAGTTTGTTATCTGGCTACCTCCAGATGCCTGAATTAATATGGTTAGGTATCAATAGTGAATTTTGTGCACCCAGGGAGTGCTTTGCACAAAAGGAGACAACAGACAAAAGTAGGAAGTACAGTCCTTGGTCTGAATAGGTTTAAAATGATTTGGGGGTACTGGCAGACAGATTTTTAGTTCTGGAAGAGTAGAGTCAAGTGCTAACATATATTTCAGAGTTGAAAACATTTAGAAAAATGAGTGGGAGGCTTGTGTTGGAAATCTCTATTTAGTGGTAAGGGAGGGGATTAACATTTCCTGCCTCAAAATCCTGGAAACCTGGAGGGTCACATACATGTTAGAGCATTCTGGCATAACAGCAGTTGGTGGACCAAATGCCCTAAATGATCAGACTGAGCAGGGACATTCACAGCATACTGAACTTAAAGTTTCTCCCCCTTTCCCCTTTAAGAGTCCTTTATTCATTGGGGTTCAGAGGTTACAGCTTACCCTTGAGGTTTCTCAAAATTGCCTTCCTGTGGTTTGGGAAGTAAGAAGTGGGTGAAAACACACTGGCTGAAACCTTCTGGATTTCTCACATTGTTAGAAGAGTACCCTTTCTTGTTATGAAGGAATAAGAAACTTTTTGTTGGGTAAATTCCAGGGCAAAAAAAAAAAAAGTTCTTGGATTTTATTTTATTTTTCTATCAGCCTGTGGAGGAGTAGGGATGATATTTAGTTCTTCCATTGAGAAGCTACTTCTACCCTCAAAGGAAGGTAAAGTTACTATAGTTGGCTTGACTTTTATAACACTAGTGAGCTGGAAGAGACCTAATGCTTTCATTTTATTATTGAGAGAAACTGGGACCCAGAGAAGTTAAGTAACTTGTTAGTGTTATACAGCTAATTATTTTCTGTGGCTCCCTCAAAATATAGTATGCTGATCACTATTCCAGTTTTTTCCTCAACTCTTTTAAGATGCTTATCTTACTAGGAAAGGAAGTTTGCAAACATTTAAAGAGACTTTTCTACCTCTGGAATGCTAGCTAATATTCTTTCCACTACCTTATTTCCTTTCTAGGTGCTGAACTGTCCCCTTTTAGGAGAGTTGTGCTCTGCCGAATGAGCAGAAACTTAAAGATCTCTTTTACCCTTTCTCTTTGCCTTTCTTTTCCTGCACAGCCGTCTCATCAGCCATGGAGAAGTATGCTGTTAACCATAACAAGGGCAACAGAGGGGAACTAACTGTGATGGTCTGAAATTTTGTCCGTGCTGTAGCTCTTCCTTTCTGCCTCTTGGATAGTTGCTGTGATTGGTTTACTGGGGCAGAATTTCATAAAGGATGGGTTTGGAAAGAAGAAGAAGGCAGGGAAAAGGTAAAATAATCCGCTTGGAGTGAACTCTACTTATAAGAATATAGCGAAGGGAGCTGCTTTTTTAATCTGGTTCCCTTGGGAGGAGTAAGTAGAGTTCTGGGAAGGAAAGCCAGCATCTGACCATGTCATAAAATTTCTAACTCTGTATTCTTGGGCTGAGTTTACTCAATAACTTCTGAACCAACAAATGTCATTTATTTAACACTCTAACTTCAGTTACTAGCCAGAGGACTTCATTATTATATATGAGAAATGCTTGAAAAACGTAGTTAAGGGTGTTCAAACACTTTGCCTTGTGTTTGAGGAAGATGGCATTTACTTAGAGTAACACAACATATGTTGACATTTTGTAGGAGATTCAACTTTAATCTCAGATTCATCAGCTGCCAATACATATGTAGTAGAAAGTGTACCTCAGTTTTGATGTTGGGTGCATTTTGCTGGCAAGGGACTGAATTCTAAGCCTGAGGAAGGCAGTAGTCCACATCCTCAAGGCAGTGCACCGTGTGGAGGGAGTGCCTCTGCCTGACCTAAGCCAGCTACAGCCTGACAAGGAAAGCGGGCACAGGTGGATAGTGCAGCATGCACGACAGACCTGTGCACAGCTCCCTGTAGCTCTCCGGAGGCCTGCTCTCTGGAACAGTAAGAAGAAAAAGTGACTAGCCTGTAAATTGGCACTAAGGCTATTCTGCAGAAGCCTTTTGAGGATAGTAGTCTTAAAGACGGTTTTATAAGAGGCATCTTGCAGCCGGGTGTGATGGCACATACCTATGATCCCAGCACTTTGGGAGGCAGACACGGGTGGATCATGAGGTCAAGAGATCGAGACCATCCTGGCCAACCAAGAGATTGGATTGAGACCATCCTGGCCAACATGGTGAAACCCCGTCTTTACTAAAAATGCAAAAATTAGCTGGGTGTGGTGACGTTCCTCTGTAATCCCAGCTACTCAGGAGACAGACAGGAGAATCACCTGAACCTGGGAGCCAGAGGTTACAGTGAGCTGAGATGGCGCCACTGCTCTCAAACCTGGCGACAGAGTGAGACTCCATCTCAGAAAAAAAAAGGTGGGGGGATCTTGCGTGGTTTGGAGACTCTGTAGGTTGATTGTGTGTTGTGTATGACAATTTACAGATCAGACGGGGTAAAGTTAGCATGGAGAAAGTTAGTTAATCTGGTTATAGAGGAAGAGAGCCTAAGCAGGACAGTTTATTGGTGAATGGCAGAAAAACTTTAGTTAAATTAGTGTTTAAGATTTTTTTTTGAGACAGAGTCTTGCTCTGTTGTCCACACTGGAGTACAGTGGCATGATCTTGGCTCACTGTAACCCCCACCTCCCAGGTTCAAGCAGTTCTTCTGCCTCAGCCTCCCAAGTAGCTGGGATTACAGGCGCCTGCCACCGTGCCCAGCTGATTTTTGTATTTTCAGTTGAGACGGGTTTCACCATGTAGGTCAGGCTGGTCTTGAACTCCTGACCACGAATGATCTGTCCACCTGAGCCTCCCAAAGTGGTGGGATTGAGCCACCATGCCTGGCTCTGTTTGTTTTGTTAATGTAAAAATCGTCTCTGTTGGTTTCTTAGCACTTCAGGGATTTGATGGTTGTACACACTGAATGTGGTTTGGCTACCACCAGTGTCCTGGGAGGACAGAGTTAGGCAGCTTTTAGTTTCCTCTGGGTTATTTGCCATAGAGTTTTTCAGGAGTCTGTCTCCTCATCCACAGTCTCCAAGAAGAACAGATGTTTAAAACGGAAGTTCTTTCATGAATGTTCTCTAATTCAGTCAATAAAACATGACCTTACCTTCCTAAGTTGAAATAATAAGAGACAGAGAAAAACACTTTTTTTGTTAACTCTCTTCTGTTTTTTCCTTTTTTTCCCCTTTTTATGGAGGTGAGAGAGAGAGAGACACCGCTTAGACTTCTTTTCTGAGTGCATTAGAAACACTTGCTGCTTATTTATCTTGTATCTGTTTAAAGGAGAATACATGAGACATAGCTGGAGAATTGTCAACAATTCCTAATAGAAAATTGAGGTTACATGCCAAATGCTTTATTTCTTTTTTTAATTCAATGTCTAGGCTTGAAGGATACCTTCTCCCTCATGGTCCCTGCTGCCTTTGAAGTGTTAGTCTGTATGTATATATTTATAAGAGTTTTGCAAGCATCTTCTTTCTTAGTTCCTTATAATGGTTTTTAAATATACTATCTCTTGATTTTTTTTTTTTTTTTTTTTTGGGACGGAGTTTCGCTCTTGTT